TTTTTAGTGAGCTAGGCCTTTTTCTTCTCCTTTTTCTGGCAAGAGAAGAAAGATGAAAGGCTGTATTCCTCTGATGAAAGGAGTTTATTGTTATTTATTTATTCATTGGTTGCTGTATACAATTAGTCCGTTTGGCATCAAGAGGAAACAGCAGATGCTTTGAAGGAGAGAAAAACAAAACAAAGTACTTTGAGCTGAGTGAAAGTTATATTTATAGCTTGGTACCAAAGCCCTACAGGGCTCAGTGTTTGTTTCGCATGCAAATTGCCCTCAGGACAGCCCGTGCTGCAGCGTTTGCTGCTCTCAGAGCCAGGATCCTGCTGCCTTTTGTCACCAGCTGCCCCCGGAGCGGAGCGCGGTGCCCTGCGGGCCCGGGCTGGGCTGGGGGCTCCCGGGACAGCCGCGCCCGTGGCGGCCCCTCCGAGCCCGCTGCAGCCCCTCCGAGCCCCTCCGAGCCCCTCCGCGCCCGCTGCAGCCCCTCCGAGCCCCTCCGAGCCCCTCCGAGCCCGCTGCAGCCCCTCCGAGCCCCTCCGAGCCCGCTGCAGCCCCTCCGAGCCCCTCCGAGTCCGCTGCAGCCCCTCCGCGCCCGCTGCAGCCCCTCCGCGCCCCTCCGAGCTCCTCCGCGCCCCGGGCTCCGGCCGGGCTCTCAGGATTCCGAGGCAGCGTGGGGAGCGGCAGCTCGAGGACAGGAGAAGGGCATTTGTGACCCTGGTCGCTGCCAGCCCAGCACCCTGCCCAGCGCGGGCATGCTCCAGCTGGGGGCTTTCCTCCGCCACAGCGTCTTTCTTAACTAAACTGCGCAGCAGTGACACGGCTGTGAACTTGCCGCAGGCTTCTGTACAATTCAGTAAGCCGAATGGTGAGGATAATTCTCTGCATTCCTGGAGGGAGGCTCCGGCTTTTCTGGGGAGCCAGGGAAGCAGTGGGAAAGCGCTGGGGGTGATGCCTGCGTACGGAGCAGAGCAGCCAAGATCCTTCTGCTGGAGGAGCAGCAGTGCGATGCGCCTCGGGGGCGACTAGGGGCTGCTGGATGACAACAGCAATTATAAGCGGTAGTACTTCCAAATTAAAAAGTCTCTTGTACGCGGCCAGTTCTGTTAAATTAATTAGAGGGACCACTGCTTTAAGCCTGTGTGCCTGAGCAGCTGCTGCTGATGCAAACTTACTCTCGAAGGGAGGGGCACTTCTGGCCAAAATCTTGCTGGAGGGGTTATGCCACAATAACTACTGCTACTGAGTCCCAAACAAAGACTCCTTCCCAAGCTAACAGACTTCAGTTGTACTGCAGGCTGGCGTGCATGTCCCTTTCCTGGCAATCCTCATTTCCCAGCTTAATACCCTGATAGCAAATAAAGGATTCTCTAACGGATCCTTCTGTTGCAGGTAGAAAGAGGAAAGAAGCCTGATATTAACTGTTCATCACTTTTCCTAAGTGGTCAATATCCCTTGTTCATTCAATATAAAACCACAGTCTAAGACTGCTAGAGAAGAGCAGGTGATATATATTCGAGTTACTCCCAGTCTTTTGCCCGAGCTGCAATTTCAGATTCCCGGAGCTGTGACCCATTTGTGACCCACAGACCTCTTCTACTTCATTTGAGAAAATATTTGATTAACTTAAAAACCCACAGTAGTTTCTCATTTAGAAACAAACAAAAGCCTCTTCACATTTTCATTTTATAGTCCTAAGTGATAGATGCCCAGTAGTAATGAATTGTAGTAATGCAAAGAAAGAGAACAGCATATGAGCAGGGAGCAGGAGTCCCCTGTACACGCACCTAAGAATCCTTCCACTAAAAATGACCAGAGACAACTGTGCACTTTAAGAGTCCTTTAGGGAAATTGTTTCAGCTTGATTTTGTTTTACTATTTTGATTTCTCTTTCATGGGTTAGCTAGATTTTATGATGATTCTGAATTGGATTAGTTTGGACTTTTTTGGTAAAAAGAACAGAGCTGTTAATGAAACCCTGTCTTCTTCTATTGCCCCTGCTTCACTGCTTACCATGTATCCTCACAGGCAGATACACACATGCACACATGTACCTGTGTGTGTATATGTATACATGTATACACAGGAGATATATATCTATATATATCTATATCATAGATATCTATCTATATCTATATCTATATCTATATCTATATCTATATCTATATCTATATCTATATAGATAGATATATATATATATAAAAAATGAGGTCTGCTTTACTATCACCACTCTAAAATTAAATCAGTCCTGTTACAATAACAATGATTTGCCTATTCCTCCCAGACTATCCTATCTGTTTACTGATTCCCAACCCCACATACAGCTTCTGTAGGAAAAAAAATCATGCACTGATTATTCAGAAGAGACCCAGGTTGTAGATTGATGCCTTTTTAGCTACCATGAGATTTAATCCACTAGTCTAATATAGAGGTTTATAACTGGCAAGATTAAGTACCAGATGCTGAAACACATGTTTAACACAAAGTAGCATTATAACAGAATAATGATAATTGTAACAAAAACACAGTATTAGTTAATGACATTAGGCTAGAGTAACTAGTAGCACATCTGAAGATAAGAATCAGCTGATTTTTCAGTTTGGAAGTGCCTCTGTACACATTACCTGATTCACATGGCCCTTTATGTTTCATGCTGATGTTTCTTTTCGCAGCGTAAGCCTTGTTGAACTGACAGATGTTTTCGTAGGTTTTCCCATCAGGTCCACAGATGCTTTCTTGAGATTTGCACACACACTGGGGTTCAGGGACTTCCCCAAACCTTGCTTCATCAGCATCCAACCTGCACTCGAGGTGATCCCCACACTGCCCATAAAAATGATTGCCCTGGTCCAAGTCGCAGATCTGACCTTCCACGTTCCCACATTCCGGACAGCAGCCACAGCGATCCAGCACAGCCCCGGCTGGACAGTCCTTGGGCTCAGAGCAGAGTGCCAAATCACATTTTCCACAGCTATCTCCTTCCCTTAGCAGCCTCCACCAGCCTCGATGATACAAGGCAGGGAAACTCTGTGAAACCTGTACCAGTGCTACCAGCACTGCTGTAACCATCCGGTGCTTCATCTCGAGAGTGTAACAAAAAGAAGAAAAGGTCCTTGGAGTAAAGCCAGGGAGAGGAAAAAAAAGCAAACCAAAAAAAGAGCAAGCTAGTGAGAGAAAAACATCACAATCCTGATTTTGTTTTAGAATATAAGCTGTACTCCAAACACAGGCTTTAAGGAAAAATTAGTATCAGATTCCTAAGCTGGAACTGATAATAAAAATGCATAAAGACCCAGCAGCTTTTCCCTAATGCAGTTTGGAATGTGAGTACTGCTTGCACAGAGACCAAACTGCCCCTTCTGACAGCTGAGTTGAAGCTCTCTGAAAAGCTGTTTGCTCCATGTCTCATTGAGCCAAATTTGCAAAGCCTTGCTCTACTGGAACGTTACATTGCAGCTATTGTGGAAAGGGGAACAGGGAAAAGGAGTGTAAAATGAAAAAAGTCACTGCTATGAGTGGCCCTCCCCTACATCAGGCAAAATAGATGTCCACAAAAAGATGAATATGTGTACAAAGTAGCACCCAAAACCCCAGTGCCCTGGGGCTTAGCCAGTACTCTAGAGACTAGAGCTTGGTGCAATACCAAATGTGATCCATTCCTGATCACAGCTAGAGGCTCTGAATTAACACTTTATTTACAGGCTCTGTACAAGCAAGAGGCAATCCAAGTCAGCCAGCATTGACTTTAAACTCTCAGGTTTAAGATGAAAGATGCCTGTAATCATTAAAGGACCCATTGTTTGTCTCTCCATATATTTTTTGTTCAGTGTTTATGGGTGTCTGTGCTTTGCAACACAAAATAATGTGGTCCATGTTTGGCTCTAAGAACAATGTGCAAAGGTTTACAGCAACAGGCAAACGTGAGCAAATTGCTATAGCTTCAGAAGGAGATTCTTCTGAAGTGTTAGATGCTGTGCTCATCTTTTCAAAGCACTTCTTGGCCTTAGTTTCTTAAGATGTGCTTACACTGCAGGTTCTGAAGGAAAATGAAAGAGGTAGCTTGGATTTCTTTCCGTGCTTTTCTGTGTGTATATGGCTGCCAATTCAGGGAGATGCCTTTGCATGGTCATTTCTCACCAGATGTTGCACTCCAAAGACGGAGTTCTTTCTCCATCTCAAGATTTAGACATGTTCCCTATCTCCTGGCAGAAATCTCCCTTCCTTTACCCTGCTGCTGAGATTTTGCAGCCCACAGGCTGCTGTTATCATTGTTCAAACTACATGCAGCTCATCAGCAATTCATCTTCCTGGCTGTGGGGGTGGAAGTGAAGCATCATGGACCTGCAACCCGGCAAGCATGGCCCAATGCCATGGGTCAAGGATCAGCACCACCTACAAAGGAAATGTCTCTGGGTGCTAGCTTAAAATAACCCTACGAGCATCACAGTTTGAAGACAAACACATAAAACTAGGACAATGTTAACAAGCTGTAATAAAAGAGAAGTCATGCTTCTGGCCTACTTTTCTTAAAATCTTCCAAAAGCAGCATTTCCTCATCTTTTTTTTTGTTCATGGTGTGTAACTCCTTGCATAAGCTCAATGAAGGATGCATTTTGTTGTACCAGCCTTGCATCCTCTGGTTGCATTCACAAAGGCAAATCTTTTGAGGTCATGTATTTACTTTTCATCCCAAACATTTCCACAGTTTTTCCTAAATTCAGCTCCTGTACCTTCTGCACCATTTGAGATTACCTCTTCATCTGAGTTAAGTAGCAGGCTGCTTCAAAATCACAAATTCCTTCTCCTAAAAAGCACAAAATTAAATTTCCCCAGCCTACACTGGTAACACTTCTTAAAGCCAGCCTGGAGGCACCTGCAGGGCACTGAGTTTTTTCCTCTGATCACTGGGATAATTAATATTCCATATGTGCAAGTTGTTGCTTTGAACTCTGAATCAGACTGTAAACATGTAAATTATGTGTGTAATTGATGCTTTTAAGATTGAGACTCAGAAAAAAAAAAGGTAACCTCAATTTAATGGGAAATTGATTATTTTGTCCTGTTTGATGCGTTTTATTTCACATTTCTCTATCAAGTCCTAATTGGACATTTAGTTTTGCATTATAGGGTCTAGTCATCACACTCTATTTTATAATCTGTCTGTACAGCTGTAGGGGATGAGTACATATAGGACATATGCTAAGGCTCATATGAAGTAAAGGGATGTTTATAAGGGTGAAGCCATGTGAGCAAAGTCGAGCCAAAGCAGGAAGGAGGTGCAGGCCAGCAACACCCCTGGTAAGGGTGAGGTTTGTCTAGCATCTCTCAGGAAATCTGGGATCTTAGCGCTGAAAAACAGTGAGTGTATTATAAGGAAGTACCTTCTGTGAGCTGGCACAGAGGAAACCCATCATAGATATCCTAGAAAGCATTCTTGGCATTTACCTGACTCGTGTAATCTGAATTCTTGGTGGGTTCGGCCACTAAATTAAGAACTGGAAGTGCCCTAAACAGCTGCCACCTGGCAGATGATCTGCAGCTGAGGGTTACTTGGTCACAGATTCCTGAGATCACCTGGAACAAATTGAGGTTAAAGCACTGTGGTATGACATGGAGAAATGGCCTGGTAAATCTCTGAATGTCTTTCATTATCAAGCCAGCTGTGACAAGCTGAAGAGAACTCCCCACATTGGATAGATGTGTGGCAGTCAGAGCAGAGCGGGGGGAGGGAGAGAGAGCAGGACGCACAGCTGGGTTTGAAGAGGCACATTAAAGGCATAGTCCCATCTGCTTCAGGAATAAAATATGCATTATTTCAGGATGTCTCTAATCCTTGAAGCTTGCTTTGGTAGGGAAAAGTGTTGATTTTCAGGACAAACCTTGAATAAACCCTAAGTATATCCCAGAAGGAAACACAAGCAGCAGTGGATGAATGTCACCACTGGAGCTGCAGGACAACCAGCACTGTGCCCTTTGCTTTCAGCCAGCAGCCCCCCGGTGCTGCCTGCAGGGTAAGGGCACTGGAGGCTCAGAGCCCCAGAGAGGCCAAGAGGCTGCAGTGATGGGGAGCTGGCCACCATCAGCTGGGAAATGACACCTTGGAGAATCATGTCCTGAACAGGGAGGTGGAGCAGCATTCACATGCCCTGGTCTCAGCAGGAAGGGCTGTGTGGGCTGTGCAGCAATTTCCCCGGCTTTTCCTCAGTATTTCCATATGGCATGATCAGTGCAAGGAGTTCTGCCGCTTTCCTGTGGAGACATAGGTTGGATGATGGGCAGGGAGGGGACACAGCAAAGCAGCCCAGGGCTGTATTACATTCAACTTCTGATTTGTATCATGTTGTTCTGCTTTGTATCATAACAGGTAAGGTATGTGGCTGATGCAATTTGAAATTCTGTTGTTGGTGACTTTTGAGGTACTGCTCCTTCAGACAAAATATGGTTTGGTTCTTTATTCTGTTTTTATTTGTGTCAACATCAGTTTTAAGTAAGTGAAGGTTTATAAATTCAGCTCCAGCCAGACTTGCAGACCTGGTTCCTACATAGGCACAGGAGTCCTGTAAGGAATAACAGCAAAATACAAAATCTTCCATGTGTTCCTTCTACCTTCACTGTCCTGTAATGGTTCCTCTCCTTAAATATCTGGAGTCAAGTTTAGAAACTAGAGTGCTCTGTCTCTTAGGCTGTATTAATTACCTATATTTGAGGTTCCTTAGGAAATCTTGGCTGACTCACTGTGTTTCTATGCAAGGTATTTTATACTTGCATTATGTACGCAAAAGAAGCATTAAAGAATGTTCAGCCTGTTATACTGGCTCATAGCAGGCTACAGGTGGCTGTGCCCAGTGGGTATGTGTATCACCTGCTACTGTACCCATCTCCTAGGAAAACATTTCCCCCCAAAGTATCCAGAACTGAGCTTCAGTCAAGGTGCTTAGCTCACCTAAGAGCAGTATTTAATTTTGTTGAAGTAAGTAGTAAATGGGGATGACTGATGCCATGTGCTGGTTCCTCCCAGAAGTGCTGACTGGTGCAGTCCTGGGATCTCCAGATGGGGCCTTTTCTGGGGCCAGTCCAATGTGCTGACACTGCTTTCATCTCATCATTAGTGCTGTAAGCACATTAACTGTAAGTTAATCCTACTGTAACATGATTATTAAATCCATTAATCAAAAGCAGGAGATTCATAATTAACTTATTCTCCAGCATCAAGTAAATGATTCTGCTATGAGTTTTAAGAAAGCAATTGTTCTCTAATATACAGTGGAGCTATTAGACTATAATTGTATAATTAAATTATAATTTTAAAAATAAATTTTGCATATTTCAAGAAGATTTTAATTATTTTCTTTGTAGGTTAAAATGTAGGTTTATTTTTTAAGGTTTCACATATCATTTAAAAAAACCAACCAAAATTAATGTCTGTCCTCTACCTGTAAGCTAACGTTTCCATGAAAGGCTTTGACCAGACTTTTGGTGACTCACCTTGCACCTGTCTCCAACAGTGGCTCACTGCAGATTTCTCCTGTTATGTATTTCAGCATATTTATTGTTGGTCACAACAGACAAATTTTAACTTGAAAAGATGAAAGAAGTGGCTGATAGCACTGTGCTGGTACCAAATGCTGGGTTTGTTTCAATACAGGCTTACTGACTCATCTTCCTACAAGTTATTTCTTTCCAAGAAGGCCAGATATATCAAATGTTCTTTTCAAGCCTGTTCAGTGTCTCTTGTCCTTTAAGTAGACTAAGTTTCTGAAAGCTCTGCAGTCTTACCCAGAAACACCCGAGCCTCCCATCCCAGAACAAAAAGGTGGTTCGCAAACATCGGCAGCTGTTAATCAAGCATTTCCCTGAAGTCATTCTCTTGAGAGGTGAGAGTTGCAGCAGGAGACTTTCACAGAAAATACCCGGAGGACATTTCACCCATATGCCCTGCCCCCATTTACAGTCTGGCAAAGCCAGCCTGCTCCTCTTAAGCCTTTTTCTGTACACTGCCATCATGTATTGCTGTAGAGAAGCAAAAGCCATCATTGCTCCTCTTCCTGTTGAGAGGAAGCCACAAACTTTTGTCCACCTTCTGCCTTTGTTTTGGGAATGCCTTTCTGTTATGTGGGGTTATGGGTTGGAGACAGACACACGACACAACACACTGATCCATCATCAGCAAACAGCAACAAGTTTATTATGGCTACCCTTTTTATGGGGCTTTGAATCTTCCAGGCCCAGATAGCTGATTGGATAAGACCTCTCTCTGCCCAGCTCTCTGGCCAGTGCGGTATCTGTATTTAAGTTTGAACAGGGTTGGCTGAGGTCTCTGTTACCTCTTTTCTAGAATGAGCTCAGTCAGCTGAATTGGATTTGTTATGGCCAGATTTATCTTGTTCAGTTACAAACTAGCTGTGCTGCAACATTTTTCCGTTAGCCCTCTATTTTGCACAGACCACAGTACTTTCATGTTTTACTGCAGATTCACACAGAGTGAAGCAATTTTTTTGTCAAAGGCAGTTGCTGTGTACATCACTAGATACAGCAGGGCTTCAAAGACACCAGAGCTTGGGGAAAACACATCAGACCTTAGCCCACAAACCCAGAGAATAAAAGAGCAACACAAGAAAGAGTCTTGCACATGCTGCCAGCTACAAGCAGCAGGACAGAAATGGGGCAGTGGGCTGGGGGGCCTGCAGGCAGTGGGCAGCAAAGGGTGGGAAATACAGGTAGGGCTCTGGGTGGCACTCACTTACCTCTGCCACCAGGGTGTGGCAGGCATGAAAGTGTCAAGCAACATCCATGTGTGCTCCTTGCTATTCTCAGCCCCTTCTGGGTTCAACATGCATCAGGATGTTGGAAAACTGGCCTGGCTCCTGCTGCAGACCTGCAACAAATATGCTCTAAGCGTTTGGAGAGGAGCTGGAAGAAAACAAAATAGAAAACCCTGAAGCCACATGGTTCTGACTTCAACAATGTTTCAAGGTGATTTTAGAAGACAGTCTGAGCAGCAGTGTAATCTTGGCTGCTGTGGGTGCCCATCCCTCCCTCTCCTACAGAGGCAGAGGTAGGAGGAACAGGAGGAGGCAGAAGCTCAAAGTTGACGCTGATGCTGCTACCAGCAAAGTTCTTCAGAGTGGCAACCACAGCATTTCCTGCGAAAGTCTAATGGAAAGGGAGATCTCCAAAACTTGCAGACAATGAATACAGAGTAATTTTTCTTGGCAACCTTAATGTTGATGGATAGGACAGTTTGCCTTGTCCAGTTTATATAAGAGCAGCTGATATAAAATTACTTCATAGCTGGATATTTATGAGAAGTTTCATTTCAAATAATGTAGTTTTTGCCTCTGGTGGTGCTGTGGTTTAGCCCTATTATTACTGGGAACTAAATCTTTAGGATATTACAGCTATAACTGTAGGGCCTGTCTGTATACAGAACAAAGTTAATATTTTCCAAAGCAATGGAAACTTTATAATGGAAAGTCACATTAGCAAAACTACCTGTCCCTAAAACCAGCCAGGTAATCAGGCACAGAGAGAAAATTTGGGGGATGCTCCTTCAGATGCTCCTGCTTTCTCTCACAGCAATACTGAGTCTTCTCCGTGACAGTGAATGCAGAGATATTCTATCTTGCTCTTCCTCTGGGAAAGCGACCAGAAACCAAGCTGTGATATAAGCAACATTCTCTCACCTTGTCTCTGCTGCACATGGATCTCACATAAACTACTCCTGTCTCTTGAGGGAAATGGGATTCACCCCTGGTGCCAGAACTGAGCCACATCAAAGTAGCAAAGTCATTAAAAAAACTGGCTAATGAAAGCAAGCCCTGAGGGTAGTCACCTGCTGAAATCTGGGAATTGTTCAGGTTGGAGAAGGCCTTTCTGGGAAAGGGTCTGTAGCATAAGAAATATGAGGAGCAGCTGAGGGAGCTGGGAAGGGGCTCAGCCTGGAGAAAAGGAGGCTCAGGGGCCCTTGTGGCTCTGCACAGCTCCTGACAGGAGGGGACAGCCGGGGGGTCAGGCTGTGCTCCAGGGAACAGGGACAGGAGGAGAGGGAACGGCCTCAGGCTGGGCCAGGGCAGGCTCTGGTTGGATATTCTGGAAAATTTCTTCACTGGAAAGGTGGTGGCATTGGAACAGACTGCCCAGGGCAGTGGTGGAGTGCTCATCCCTGGAGGGATTTAAAGGCCGTGTGGATGTGGCACATAGGAACAGGGTTTAGTGGTGGCCTTAGCAGGGCTGGGGGAGCAGCTGGACTTGATCATCTTGGAGGACTTTGTACAAAGAAATTCCTTTTGTTAACATTAATATTTGGTGGCTAGTGTAAAACACATAAGGGCATTTTAGTTGGGTTTTAAAGAAAGAAACCAATACAGAGAAGAGATAACGATTTTTTTTTTTTTAGTAGAGAATCTCTCTGAGGGTTTGTGTTCATATCACAAACATTTACTTTATTGCATTTTATGGAATGGACTTCAAATGCCAGTATATACAAGCCAACACTTCATTATTGAGTTTGTGTTTATCCACTTGCCATTGTCAGCCTGTTCCCCTCTGTCTTCTTGTGCTGCTCTTTGTAAAAGTGATGATTTATGAATATGTGGGTTAGATCCCTCAAAGTACAGTGTGGTGAAGTGGTTCAATAAAAAGTTATTAAAGTAAAAAATCTATAATTTCATGTGCTCTGTTCACCTTCTCTAGGAACCCCCAAGAAGAGATCCTTAAGCTAAGCAAACACTGCATGCTGAGACTGTAACATAAGCTACAAACTGAGGCCTCACCCAGCCAGAACTCTGCTGGATGGAGCTACTGCAGGCAATTCTGATTCCGCCTACATAAGTGCAGGATTGCCCCCTCTCAGTGATGAAAGCAGCACAGACAAAAAAAGGGTGCTGGGTAGGGCACCCATAAAACATTCATTTTACAATCAGCAAATAAAGACTTCCAGTATTCTTAAGCTACACAGTACCAAATAGCATTTGGTTCTTTAATGTAACTGTGTGGCCACATTTCATTTATCTTTAAAAGAAAACTTTGGCTTTTGCTGATTGCAGGATAAGCAGAGCTAACTTCGGGCAGTTTCCAGAGCCCACTTAGAATATTATTTTTCTCAAAAAAGTAGCAGTGTTTCAGCCTAAAAGTGAAAGTGTGAGAGTGAAAGGGTGATTTAGACTAGCCTACCCCAACCCATGCACGTTTTTCACCCAGCAGCACTGTTGACTTGCCACAGCTGCACAGCCTCATAAAGGAGGGGATGACAAATGACACTTGTGCCTTTGGCTGGCAAGGAGTGAGAGCTGCTTGTAGCAGTGAAGACTGAAGGAAACATTCTCCAGGACAAAAAATAATTTGTGAGGAAGACATGGAAAGCAGTAGAATCTGTTCACATGCAGTAAAGCAGGAAGAGTATAAGAGATGGGTTACAAAATTATTTTGCTGCCTCTATTTCATGTTCCCAAATCTCTGAAAAAATGCAGCTTCATGAACAACAAGCCTCCATCTGTCTTGGGGATGGAGAACTTCAGCAAGTGAGGGTTATCTCAGTGAGTTACAGACTAAAAGCAGTGAGGCACCACTGTGCATTTCTGAATCACCATCCTGGCATTGCACCATCCAGGACAAAGCAGCACCATGCACAGGAGCACCCCACTGTGCTGCCCTGCACTGAGCTTCTGCTGCTGCCTCAGGGCTCTCACTGCAACAGAGCAGCTATTGAGGCAGCAATCACAGTCCCTCTGTTCTCTCTGCAAACAAAGAATAACAGTCATGATCTTATACATCTTCTGGGACATCTCAGCTTGAAGGTTTCAACCTGCTCCAAGCTACCAAAATAATTCTGCCACCTGTAGTGCTCTGTAGCTGCCAGTGCAGTCCTGCACACCCACCTCCAGCCAGGTGAGGTGTGGAATGAAATGCAGCTGTGAGCAGAAGAGCCCAGCACAGTCACTCAGTTGAACAGCTGCTGTCAGAGTCAGTGCTGCTGATGCATGCACACCTCACACACTTCTGCTGGGTACCTCAGGAAACACAAAGAAGCTTTTTGTCCACATTGAATTCACTGAGGTTATGTACCTGGATGCCCACTGGCACAATTCCTCTCCTGCTGAAGTAGGAGAATGAATCAACTAATTTCTACTAAAAATATAGATAATAAGCCCAATAAAACACATTGACCACCATGAAAAACAAAGGGAAAAGCAATTTGGAGTAGTGGTCCACATTGCCAGGGTTCTGAATTGTGAAATAACCAATGATCCCGTGCATTTTGTTCCTCAAGACACATTTGATTTTCTCATGACTTTTCATGGTCAAGTCACTGCAGTTAACATTATCGCTGGAAATCTCAATGCTTGTGAAGCTGATTTTCTGTTCATAGCTGGTGATGGAATTTTTGAGGATGTTGGTGATGTTAACTTCTTCCATTTCTTCAGTCAGTTCATTTGCAGTCCTCTAGGAAACAAAGAGTGCACAGTTTTAAGGTCTGTCTTCTCCTGCAGAGGAAGAAGACCATAAGGATAAAGACATAAGAGTACAGCTTCATATGGGGTCATCCCAATACTCAAACACATCTTTCAGCTGCTGCCTACTCCTAGGAGGGCCTGAGGTCCAAGAGATGCCTGTTTCCACCACTGTATTTCTAGAGATATTTTTAGATCCTTGAGCAAGTTTTACTCTGGGTAATCCAATATCCATCTCCTACAGG